AAGGGGCGGCGGGATGGCGTAGGGAGGGCGCAGCCGGGGTCCTCGAGGGATCCCGGGTCTGGCGGCAGCTGGGTTTGGAGAGGCTCCGGGAGGAGGAGGCTCGGAGTCGGGGCGCAGCGGGGATGGTGGGTAGCCGTTTGGGGGGATTGGAAAGGATCGCCGCAGAGGTTCCAGATTGCCCAAGGGGGGGGCGGGGGCAGCTCTGGGGAGAAGCCCCATATCGCACGTGGGGTTTGTGTACGTGGTATAGCGGTGGGACGGGATCGAGAGACCTCTGTCCCTTGGAGAAACTTTAGCGACTGAGCCTTAGAGGAGCTTGAAGAGGAAGTAGGGGAAGGAGCAGATAAATTGATGAAGTGGATGGAAGTGTAGGTAAGCTTGGGGAGAAGTTTGGCGAGGATTAAATGTAGAGAGAGGTTGCTTAGAATGTTGAGAGCCTCTCATAGAGACAAAGTTTGGGTGAATTGAGGAGAGATGGTTACAGACCCAGGACTTGGCCAGGGTTGAGTAATCCCAGCACTCAGGAGGCTGAGGCAGGAGAATCTCTACAAGTCCAAGGCTAGCCTGAACTACATCTTGTCTCAACAGTAACAACAAAGGAAACCAGAACTCAGGCTTACAAAGCTAGGACTTGAGATTTGGTGCTGGAAAGGCAAATTTGGGAGTCAGCATGGTCTGTATCCTGGGCTGGGAAAGGTGACAGAAAAATTAGTGTGGTTGAAGAATTGAGGTGGGGTAGGGGTTGAAGGCCTGCTAGGGTTTGAGGGCTCCTGGCTCTTGAGCTAGCCTCTCACTGTCCTTTGTGCCTCCCTAGCTCGGTAGCACAGCAGGCAAGGCAGGTGCCATGGCCTTGATTGAAGGGGTAGGTGATGAGGTGACTGTGCTGTTTTCGGTGCTTGCCTGCCTTCTGGTGCTGGCCCTCGCCTGGGTCTCAACACACACTTCCGAGAGCACCGACACCTTGCCCCAGCCGGCAGGGACCCCAACGCCAGCCCAGCAAAGCGAAGCTATGGCAGCCATTGACAGTGTCAGAGGGGAGACACCAGGGGTGGAGACCTCCAGCCTGAGACACAGAAGTCAAGCTGCACAACCAGAAGCCAGCACAGGAGTCACACCACCACCACCACCACCACCACCACCACCACCAGCCCCAGATTCCCCACAGGAGCCCCTAGTGCTCCGGCTGAAGTTCCTCAATGACTCAGAGCAGGTGGCCAGGGCCTGGCCCCACGATACCATCGGCTCCTTGAAAAGGTAAGCAGGGATGAGGGTAGGAGGGAAATGCTAAGGGACTGGATGGGAGTAACTACAGGAGGGCCACCTGAGATAACTGGGACACCACCCTTATTTTCTGTTCCCCAAATAACAGGCTGTCCTTATTCCCTGTGTCAGGCTGCTCCCCAGAGGCTGCAGCCAGGGTAACGTGTGGAGGGCCAGGGCTGGGAGCATGGCTCTGGGTAGGGACTAGAATTGCCTGAGGCCTGCTTTCTTACCCAGGGCCCTCTCTCCTCAGGACCCAGTTCCCCGGCCGGGAGCAGCAGGTGCGACTCATCTACCAAGGACAACTGCTAGGAGACGACACCCAGACACTGGGCAGCCTTCACCTTCCTCCCAACTGTGTTCTCCATTGCCACGTGTCTACGAGGGTCGGTCCCCAACATCCCCCTTGCCCACCAGGGTCAGAGCCAGGCCCCTCCGGGCTGGAAATCGGCAGCCTGATGCTGCCCCTGCTGCTGCTCCTGCTGCTTCTGCTCTGGTACTGCCAGATCCAGTACCGGCCTTTCTTTCCCCTGACCGCCACTCTGGGCCTGGCCGGCTTCACCCTGCTCCTCAGCCTGCTGGCCTTTGCCATGTACCGGCCGTAGTGCCTCCAAGGGCCCTTGGCAGCGTGACCTGCCCCTCTGGACCTCGCTCCCCACAGCATGGTGGGCACTGCTGTCTGCCCAGGCCAGCCTCATCTGCCTGCCTCTTCCCACTGCCCTGGAGCCCAGCCTTGTGCCACAGGGGACTCCAGCAGCTGGCGGAGGCCCCGCACTGTGACCTTCAAGGCCATAGCTCTGGTCCGCCTTCCGGGTCTGCTGCCCCCCAGCTCACGCTGACAGTCAGCTCTTCGGGATCAGGCACCTGCTGTCGCTGCCTTGGTCCCAGACAGAGCGGGGCCACCACCTTGGGCCCTTAGTGTTCTTCCTGAGCATCCAGCCACCCCTAGTCCCTAAGAGGCTGATTTGGGGGCCCACAGATGGAGGCTGAAGAAAGAACCTGGGATCTGGAACACGTGCAGATTAAAATAACTGTGAAGTTTTCACTCGAAGTGTGTGTCTGTGTGGGGCTGGAGGTGGGCAGAAAGGGAGTGAAGAGCAGGGTCCAGCTCCTCACCCACCCGGTGCAACCCTTTTGAGTTCTGGTCCCGCACCTGAAACCTTGGGCTCTACTGACCCGCCCCTCGTCTGTGGTCCTGCCCTGCCGGCTTGCGCGCACTTCCCGGAAGCGAGAGGCGGAGCCTGGGTGTCCGGATTCGCGACGACTGCCGGGAGCCACGTCTTCCCTGGCAGAGCGCTGCGCCGGCGACCTAGGGGTTTCTGGGGCTTCCGGGGCTTCTGGGAAGATGGCGGACCTAGTGGCCCGTCGATGAGGCGGTCGCGGGTGGAGCCTGGCTCCCGGGCCCGGAGACCAGCTGAGGGAGCGACCCATGCGGGGCCTGGGGAGTCATGTAGGGTAGCGCCTGCGGGGAGGGCTGCGGGAACTGGTTTTTAGTGGCTGTGGCCAAGAGTTCCTGGAATCCCCGGGCAGGGGCGGGTGTGGGGCCTCGCCGCCTCCGCGCCTTCGGAACGTTGTGCGCTGGGTTCCTGCTTGCGTCCGGCAGGGTGGGCTCTGAGTTCTCATTTCACTGGGGAGGATACTTGTACCAAGGTCACACAGCTGGTAAGTGGAGCGCCCAGTATGAGCCCGCGTGCCGCCGCCTCTTGCGGGGGGGAAAAAAGGTGGTCAGGAAGGCGCATCCTCGGGGCAGCTGGGGCCCGGGCTGGGTCCAGCCACTAACCCCGTGAGGAACCTCAGGCTTCTCTTAACCTCTTTGCCGCTCTGGGCCTTGGTTTCTCCACCTGTGAAATGAGGTAACACCTGCCCCGGACTCCTTGGCGTGCACAGAGCATCACAGGAGATAATGTACGTGGATTGTTTTGCTGAGCACCCTGCAGGAGTAGGATTGCTGTTTCCAGGAGTGAAAGGAAGAAAAGGGGCAGGATGGGACTAGGACCAGTCACAGAGGTTGCGGTGATTCCAAGCCCTGTCTGATAGGGAGTGAAGTAAAAGAAGATGGCAAACGTTGCCCTTTGAAGGGAACCTCACTGCCTTTTCTGGGCTGCCCCTCAGGGTCACCATCACTCAGCTCCCTGCTTCGAGTCCTGCTCTCTGTCCAGGCCTCTCCTGCTTGGTTGTCTGGCCTGCTGCTGATCCCACCAGTACAGCCCTGCTGTTTGGGGCCCAGCAAATGGGGGAAGTAGCCTCTTGGAGGAGAGCCCCATGCAGGCCCTGTGCAAGGACTGCAGTGGCTTCTGGAACAGGCGAAAAGTCCTGGGGAGCTGCTGCGCTGGCTGGGTCAGAACCCCACCAAGGTACGCGCCCACCACTACCTTGTGACACTTCGTCGGCTGAGCAAGCTCTTGGGGTCTCAGCCTTGGCCCCCTCCTGTGGAATAGACCACACTGCAGGACTTGAGTCGACTCATCATCCAAAACTGCCCCCCCTTTGATGTTCACACCATCCAAGTGTGTCTGCACCTTGCAGTTTTACTTGGTGTGGAAAGCAGCTTGGGTAGTGGGTCTAGGGAAGAATAGAGGAATGGAGGACCCTAGGCCACCAACAGACTCAGTCTCAGGTTTTTTCCCAGGAATGGCATGCTGCCCCTTCTGTACCCACAGCGGTATCATGAGTCAAACAGCTTCCTAGGGTGCCACCTCAAGTTCCTTCTAACATACTATAGAAAGCCAGTGCACAAGTAGCATGAGATGACAATCTTTTTGCCATCTTTGTATTAGGCTCCCCCCCATCAGCTCTGACATGTTCACACGTTTTACATTTCTTCAGTGTTTCCACTTGGACTCTAGTACACTTACCCACTCAGGAAGCAGGAGAGAGGTGGGAGGTCTCACCCCACAATTAGAAAGGCATGGCACAGCTCTCACCAGGACCACCTCTGGCCCTCTTCCCAGGCTTTCCACCAGATGGGCCCCTGGTCTATGCACTGGAACAGGAGTAAAGGTTCTGCCTCCCTCCGAAGCCACCTCTACCTCTACAGCCTGCCCTCCGAGGTGGGCAAAGACTAGAAGCTGCCTTGAGCTGCCCTCAGTTCCTGCAGTACCCACGGCAGCATGTGATCAGTAGCCTGGCAGGTGCTGGAGGTTTAAAAGCGAATGGGAACAGGGGCTAAGTCTCCTGGGCAGAGGAGCAGGTCTGGCCTGCAGGAGGTCTGGCTTGTGGGTCCTGTGTGATAGGCTGTTCTCCACAGAGCCAAGGCCTGAGGAACTCACACCACATATGATGGTGCTCTTGGCCCAGCACCGGTTGCAGGAGCCCCAGCTTCTAGAAGCCATTGCCTGCTTCCTGGTGGTTCAGGAAAATCAGCTCAACAGCAAGGTGGGCTTGCCTTCCACCCTTCCCTTCTGTGTTTCTCAGAGTTACCCTTAGTGACCTGGCCATGCCCAGCCTTGTCCAGCCTCCCTGGCCTCTGGGAGCAGACCCTCCAGCCGGGCTGCCCTGCTTCATGCCTTGGGGTGCCTTCTGCTCACACCCTCTGTGGCTTGTCTCACTCCCATAACCAGCACGGATGCTTAGAGCTCTGCAGTTTGCCAAACCACTCAGCATTGTCCTAGCTGCCTCACATCCCACTGCTCCCAGCCTTCAGGCCACTCCACCCACATACACATATACAGCAATGTCTCTCTGCCCGCCTTGGTAGTCACATGTGGCTCAGGGCACTGCTTATACTGTTGCACTTGGGAGGTGTGTGCCAGGATAGAGGACCGTTTTTCCTTGGCCATAGTGCTCCCAGCCTAGGCCACAGCAGCTTGTGGGACCCCATGAGCTCCTCCCCAGTCATATGCTGCTCTTCACAGGTAGTACAGAAGCTGGTCTTGCCCTTTGGGTGGCTGAACTACCTGCCCCTGGAGAAACAGTTTATGCCTTGCCTTGAGCAGGTCCTGGCATGGGAAGCTGGGGTGACACCCCTAGCCATAGTCAACATCTTGATGTCACTGTGCCAGCTTCGGTGCTTGCCCTTCAGAGCCTTGCACTTTGTCTTCTCCCTGGGTTTCATTAATTACATCAGTGGTAGGCAACGTCTGGCTGGCTGGAGGGGGCCTAGGAGCCAAGGATGGGGTGTCCAGAGGTTGGTGGCCCAGTGTGTCCTCAGTTCCTGCTTACCCACAGGCACCCCTCATGCTCCAATTGTGCGACACTACCTCTCCCTCCTTGACACAGCTGTGGAGCTGGAGCTCCCAGGATACCAGGGCCCCCGCCTTCCCTGGGGACAGTGGGTGCCTATCTTCCCATAACCTCTCATCACTGACTGAGCCTGCTGCAAATACAGGTGGGAGAGCAGCCTGGGCTGAAGGGACACAACTGGAGCTGATGATGTGCTTGTAAGTCATTAAGGAAAATGAGCGCTGAGGTAGCAGAATGCCCAGGGTGGTGGTGCTCAGCGGTGGTGCTTCAGCCACAAGGACATAGTTGCTGAGGGGCTGCGGCATCTGCTGGGGGAGAAATATCACCAGGACCTGACTGTGCCTCCAGGCTACTGCACAGGTGAGCTCCAGGTGGGTGGCAGCCCTGGAGAGGGATCTCAGCTAAGGCCCAGGTCTCTGTCCCCTGCAGACTTCCTGCTTTGTGTGAGTAGCTCTGGTGCCGTGCTCCCTGTGAGGACTTAGGATCCCTTTCTACCTTACCTGCCGCAGTCCTGCCCACAGGGCCAAGCTGCCTCTAACCCCATAACCCAAAACCCTGCCCAAAGGTAAAGAAACAGGCTGGGTGTGCCTAGGCCCTGTGGTGTTACAACAGCACCCGGACCATGCCTGTCCCCTGCAGGGTGGTGCTGATGCTATGTGAATGCTGGCATTTCTGCTGAGATGGCAGGGTGCTGCTTGGCTTCCGGGGTCTGAGGGAGAGGCATCTGGGCCTCATGTGCTACCAACTTCTGGTGAGCAGCCCTTTGTGCCCCATGTACATGTGCATGTGCTCTCATGTCTGGGCTGCAGTGACCCACTGTTCTCTTCTTGCAGCTATCCTTCGAGGAACTGGAGTCACAGAGGGGTGTGCCCCAGCTCGAGTTACTTGAGGCAGAAGTTGCAGGCCTTGGGCCTCCACTGGGGGCCTGAAGGAGGGTGAGGGGTGTACTGGGGGGCTCAAGACAGACCCCCTGTGGGGGGTTGACTATTTACACTTTGACTCCTTATGTTTTGGTTTTTCATTAAAGTCCTTTTCTTTGCCCATGGTGATTCACTTCTGGGGACAAGGAGCAGGAATGGATCCCCCACCTCCTTCCATTCATTGCCTTGACAAAAAGCCAGGGCTAGGTGGGGGCCGTAGCACTTTACTGCGGGGGTGGGGAGAAGGGGACTTTAAATTATTCACTTAAATAAAAATGAGGAGGGGGAGGGGAGGCCCATCCCACCAGCCCCCATTCCCTCTGCCCATTAGGCCCTCAGCTGCCCCTGCAGGTGGCGGCTACACAGGCATGGGCATCTCGTTGTATTCGTCCACACCCTCACGCTCATCGAACACGGGTTCCGCCTCGTTAGCATCCAGCTGTGGGAGGAAGGACAGGCTGAGCCTTTCCAGAGTGACAGGAGAGAAGGCTGATGTTTAGGAGGGTGGCAGGGGATGGGGTGGGGGTCCTTACGCATTTCATCTCTCGCTCGGTGAAGATGCGGCTGAGCACCACCATGCGCAGTGGCACTGTGAGGATGAGGATGAAGGGGAAGGCCAGGGAGGCTGCTGTAGACATGACAGCCCACAGCAGGGCCAGGCAGAGCAGCTGCAGGGCTGTGAACAGGTGCATGCGCATCGTGCGGACCTAGAGGGCAGAGATGAGGTGGGCCTAGGTTCCTCCCCAGCCAGCCACATACAGAGGGCTGGGAGGGGATGGCCCCTCTTCCTCTTCAGAAAAGGGGACAGAAGTGCCTGAGGTGCTTCCAGAGTCCACTCTGTGCAGAGATAGAAGTGGGGGCAGGGTGGGAGGGGCATTTGGCCCAAGGTGTACAGGATGGAGCAGAGGGGACTTACCTTTTTGACGTAGGTGACATCTGGGTGGTGTTTGGGTGGCATGAGCAGCAGATGCAGCCGCTCATAGAATTGGATACCGTTTAGGGAGGTCACCCCCATGTACAGGAAAATCCCAAAGAGTACAGCCAGGGGGATCTGTCGGAGTAGATCCCCGATAACCAAGGAGAGGCCTGGGAGGGGAGGTGAAATGGTCAGTCTGGGATTCAATCCCCTGTGGTCTTCGAGACCCCTGGGATGGGTGCAGCAAGGGGCAGCTTACCGACGAGCAGAGCTACCAGCAGCCCTGTCACCCGCTGCTCCTTGACTTCCTGAATCTTGGGCTTATCCCCGGGTGCCACGGCCTTGCTCATGACAGTGAGTGCATTGGCATGAGTGACGGAGCGGACAGTAGCAGCAGCCAACCAGGGAAGGCCAAAGAGGGCACAGATGCCACCCATGGCCACGATGAGAAGCAGGTCCAGGTGGAAGCCAGAGCCCTTCTGTAGCATACGCTCCTTTTTGGAGATGATCAGCCTGAGGGAGAGGGACAGTCTTTCCACCTGCTTATAAAACCTGGTAGCCCCTGTCCATGCTACCAGGACTAAGAGTTCCATCGTGGTGCTGAGCCATGCCCACAGCCCTTAGTCTGCAGGTTTCCAGACCACCCAGCCTGTGCTCTGTCCCTGCCCCTGCCCCAGCCAATGTCAGTGACATTTCTGCAGCCTACAAGATAAGCTTCAGCTAGCCTGGAATTCTAAGGTCCCCAAGGTCCTTGTCTGGCAGTGGCAGTGTGATTCCATTCTTGTTACAGAGCCTGCCTGGGGACTCAAGCCCCTCAGCCTAGGGTCACTCACGTGGTGATCTGTGTCTCCATGAAGATAAGGATGAAGACCAGGATGGCAGGCAGCAAGCTGGCAACCATCATCCACACAGGGAAGGGGCTCTTCTCCCCCAAGGGGTTGATGATCCAGCCCCGCTTATCGGGGGCTGTCACTGAGACTCCACTGGGCACGCTCAGCTTCTGCAGGCCACAGACAGTGGAGGGTCACAGGCCATGGAAAAGTCCTGGTGTCTGCCTGACTTAGGGACAACTCTGGCCGGGGCTGGAGTGTAACGCCCCAGACCCAGGTGGTGGGATCACCTCAGCGCTGGGCAGCACGTCCTTCCCTGCCAACTACAATGCCTACCTGTGTGTAGGTGTCCTCAATACTGTAATCCACAAGCACCATGATGAGGATGGCAATGGGTACCCCAAAGTCTCCAATCACCCGTCGGATCTGAGAGGGCAAGTATGGTGCTCAGAGGCCTCCTGCCCCACACAGCCTCTCACATCTCAGCCACCCCACTTCCTGTTCCCAGCTCCCTCTGGCCTGCAAACCCACGCACCCGGCCAGGAAAGAACCGGCTGTTCTTGAATTTGCGCAGGAAGAAAGCGATGAAGAAGGTGCCAGCCATGAGCACTAGCGACAGCAGGGCTGTGTTGGGCTGGCCCCGGAGTCTCCCTGCCGCTGCCTGCCTGGCCGAGCTCATGTTGCTAGGCCCCAGTGTGGGTGTTGCCTCGGTCCATGTCATGTTCTTGCCATCCTGTGCCTCGGAGCTGTTGGAGACCAAGCAGCCGTGGAGAGGATGCTCCTGGAAGATCTGAGAGAAGGCCACGAAAGACTTCATGAACTGGACTGCAGGGAAAACTGTTGGGCCCAGCTGGGTGCTGGGGGACTGGGCAGGAAGGGAGAGGCCAGCCTGCCTTTGAACAGCTCTGTCTCCTTGGATTAAGAAAATGACTCCTAATAGATGAGTGTGGTGGTGCATGCTTGTCATCCCAGCACTTGGGAGGCTGAGGCAGAGTTCAAAGCCAGCCTGGGCTACATAGTGAGTTCAAGGCCAGCCTGAACTAGAGTGAGAATTTGTCTAAAAAAAAAGACCCTGGGCCAGAGATACAGGGATAGAACAAGGCTTTGCTTCACTAACCCAAGAGTTCCATCCCCAGTATTGCCGAAGAAAAGAAGGAAGGGGAAGGAAGAAAGGAAAACCCAGAGGGCCAGTTGTGAGTACAGGGTTACACAAGATTAAGAGGGACCGAGGATGTAATTCCCATACTGTACTCTGGGAGGCTAAGGCAGGAAGATCACTTAGTAACTTAGTGACTTAGCGAGACCCTGTCTCAAATACAAATTTTAAAAAGGGCTAGAGATATAGCTGGTGTACGACAGAGTGAAAGAGCATCCAAGGGATGGCAAAGACAGGAAGGCCACTGGGGACTGTGGTGTGAGCAGAAGACTGGAGTCAGTGCCTCACAAGCCTGTCTCATGTCTGATCCCAGACCATGACTGCATTTGTTACCTCTAGGCCCATCCCTTTCCATACTCAATTGTTTGACATTTGAACAAAAGCACAGGTTCCCTTTGTTGTTATAAAATCTACGAGCTTTTGAAAGATTGATCTAAAAAGCTGGTGTATGCTGACACCAGAGAGGCCAAGGAGGGCCAGGGAAGCACAAGTCCCATCCCTGTAGGCCACAGAAGACAAGCCCAGGGAATAAGACACGAGACAGACATGACGCCCCCTCCCACCCTGCGCCCTGTTCCCATCAGGGTCATCCCACCTTGACCAGTTTGTAGAAGGTCTCGTAGATGAAGATAAGGGAGATGAGGAAGGCGAAGATCTCCTGGGTGAAGCGGGATACAAAACGCACCAGGAAGCTCCCCTCCAAGGCCACCATGAGCAGGGCCAGCAGCACCAGCCAGAAGCCGATCCACACCCGGCCCACCAGGTACTCCAGCTCATTGCTTTTGCAGAACTATGCAGGTAAGATAGGGAGTCATCAGGGCTCTGGGGACAAGGAGTGAAGGGTATGGGGAGACCACATGGGGAGAGGATAGATAGCCGGTGTAGGGAAAAAAGAGCTCTACCGAGTAGAAGGCCTCCTCAAAGACCAGCAGTGGCCCAGAGAAGCCGATCACCAGCAGCGGCTGAGCCCCCAGCAGGCAGAAGATCACGCCCTGGAGTGCCGTAGACATGATGAGCTCTGACACCCCTATCAGGTCATGTGTCTTCTCTCCTGAGGGTGAGGGGACAGACTCAGCAGCAGGCCCCCTCGGCTCTGTGCACCCATCCCTCCCCAGAGCCTTCCCTTACCCAGAAGCCCCCCAAAGGTGATGGCTGGAGACAGGGCTGCAAAGTAGATGAAGATGACAGCGGCCAGGCACTGAGGGTCAAGTGCATCACGGAAGTCACTCAGGTAGTGGGGGTAGCGGCGCTTCACATCACGGATCAGCCCTCCAAACGGCCGGCCTGTCCGCCGCAGGGGATCGTCTTCGGCTGCACCCACTGCTTCTACCATCTGCAGGAGTGCTGCAAACCAGGCCGCCGTCAGGGTGCCTGTGGGTCCTGTACCTGCCCACCCCTTCCTGCCCCGGGCAGCCCCATCCAGCCCGTATCGCATACCCTTTTCCTGGGCAGACTTGGGCTCCAGCCCATCCCCTGAGGGCAGCAGCCTGCCCTGCTCCTCCCGCTTCTTCAGCATCTGGCGTTGGAAGTGGGCGACAGAGCGCAGCAGCTCCTCGCCCTGCACTTCCGAGGGTGGCAACACCACGCTGCAGTCCAGGAAGGCATTGATGGCAGCTAGCAAGTCTTCTCGCTCATCCGCCAGGTAGGCCGCCTCGTGGAATTGCTGCCAAAACGGGATGGGGGTCAAGAAGGAAGCCAGGATGGGGCCAATGGCCCGGAGCAGGGCTGGGCAAGGTGGGCATGGGGGTGGAAAGTACTACTAGGGAACCATGTTGGGTGGGGCTAGGATGGGTCCAGAGATGGGGCACAAACAGTGTGGGGCTGACCTTGTCAGACATGAGGGTGGAGATGGAGCGGCCAATCTCATGGTAGTCCATGTTGGCGCTGCTGGGGCCCAGCAACAGGAAGAGGAATCGCACGGGTACTGGCACCTCCAGTACTGCGTCCAGCTCCACAGCCTCCCGCAGACGCACGAAGGCCATAGTGGGGCGGGAGAGAAACTCCACGCAGCCTAGGAGTGTGGGGCCATGGTGGGCACAAGCACACAGCAGGACTCTCCAGCCCCAGCCCAGAGGACAGTCCACCCAGTCCCCATGCTCTGAGCCCAGCGCACATACCCACAAGGACCACAGTGGCCTCGGCGTTCTCAGGGATCTTCTCCAACAGCTTCAGCTCATGCTTGGACTTGGAGCGGGTGATGCCAGCAGGGGGCAC